GGATTTTTTATTTTATTTATAGGGAAAATTTTAAATTGAAAATTATTCTTAGTAACAATTTATTTATATTAGTGTGAGCATTGCGTCTAAGCATGTTCCGCTGGTTAGCAAAATATTTTATTTTTTTCTTGCCACAATCGACTGGACTAATAGTCACTATCGATTGATTGGCCACCTACTATAAAAATAAATTACTATATCTATTAAAACAAGAATTATCAGAATCAGTTCAAATTTCGTGATCGCTTCACGTGACATATTCATGCCAGTTGACAACTTTCCCTTAGAAATTGCTAAAAAATATAAAGTTATAATAATTATATAGTCATTTGTTTAATTAATTTAATACAAACATTACCTCTTTTGTACTGCGCCATCGAGCAATAAAACAAGGGCGAAAGTAGTGAACCTGCAGAGTTCACCTGGGACAGTCCGCTGGTGAACAATACTGCATCGTGCATTTTTGCCGATGCAACAGAGTTATTGTCCTGTCGCTGAATGCAACGATACGGCTTAGATTACCGGCCGCCATTCTGACGGACGGAGAGACGGATTATTCTACACAAGACCTTATTGTTTGTTACTAATATTATAAAAAAAATTGAAATTTAATAACGCAGTTTCGGCAACGTGTACGTTTTTTTTATACAACTTAGAATGGCAAACAAGCTGATGGCCCGCCTGATGGAAAATGGTAACCGTCGCCTATAGACATGAGCAGTACCATGGACATAAGAGTATTCTGTTTCGCCCATGATACCCCCCATGCGTTGCCATTCCTGAGGACTCGGGTGTTATTCCTCTGTACCCTGTAAATTCACGCCATATCCCACCCTTCAAACCGAAACACAACCATGCAAACACAACTGCTTCACGGTAGAAACACGATATAATAATAACAACATGTAATTATAATCAGATATGCCATTAGCATGTTTGCTATTTTAAGCATAGAAATAACTATAAGTTAAGTAGATTGGTATACATGCATGCCTGTAACTATTAATAAACTGTCAGTTTTTCTCACATTGAGTTTGCTGAAAGAAATCTCTGAAATCTCTTTTAGAGAAAAGCTCGCCTTTGTGCAGTATTGTTTGTTTTTTTTTTCTATTTCATAACTTTTTGTGTACAATAAAGAATAAAGAAATATTATTATAAGAATAAAGAGAAAAACATAGTAGAAATAAAGTAAAGTTTACGGGATCAAAGTGGTCAACAGCAAGTACCAAGGGTGTCCGGCTAATTTACAAGGACGGCGAGTGATAACGTGCGGCGCGCGGGCTCGCGGCTCGCGGCTCGCGGCTCGCGGCGATTTGTTTCTGTCGTTGTTACCGCGACCTGTTCAGATAACACGGCCGCAAGTGGAACACGACTTGCTCTCTTTTTGTCCAACCAGTATGGGTACTGCACAAGAGCATTTGCTTGTTCTATTTATTGATGTGAGATATAGTTATACTTTGTATTACCAATTTAAATGTAATATTACTACATTACCGTGTCGATCCCGGCATAGAATAGGCCACCCCTTCCTTACCTGTGGGTGTCGTAAGAGACGAATTTTTTTAAGGGATGTGGGATATGTATACACCGACGGAAGATGGCGAAAATGAATGCAGGTCAGTTGGCCCACCACGATGGCGAAGGAACCGCGTGAGCGACCTGAGAGCGTATATTGCTTAAAACTATTCTCTATTACCTAACAATATCTTTCCCCCCAAGGCGACTTAGGGTCAAGGGATGGGGGGGCGAGTCTCTTAAGTTTTAAGACTCTAAGACCTAACTGCGAATGCCAACCCGCCTATCAGGGGGGAAGAGGGATTGTTATTAATGGAGACTAACAATTGTTACTAATGCAAACTACTAGTCCCATTGTTTGTTACTCTGTCAGGTCGACATCCACGTGGTCCCCCCTGGAAACCCTTGCGTTGATTTCCAGGTGTATTATCACGATGGCCTAACTGACTTGCCTTATCATCCTCACCAATCATCCCTAACTAATGCCCCGCCAGCGCATACCGTTAGCGCAGGCAGGCGGTTACCATTCCATTATTATCTATTATAAAAAAGGTCACTTTTACTAACTTCTATTCAAAGAAATTGCATTTCTGTATAATTTTATTGAAATAAAAAAATTTCGTTGCAGCAGAGCATACGACATTCAACGAGGAAGGGTGACGTTCGAGCGCCTACTTTCAGTGAGTCGTGTGGGCGATTCTCTCACTTGGAACGGTCGAGTGTACATATGAATAGAGTAAGTATCTGTACAGAGGTCAAATTACGTGTAAGTGTCCTGTTGTAGGTAATTTTGTGTATAGTGTAGCCATGTGCGATTGAGTTTTCACATAGTCTTGATAAGTAAAAGTTTATGGCAGATTATCTATCCGTTTCATTTATATGAAATTTTATAATTTAACGTTTGTGTTTGTTCTGAATAAAAAAAAACACATAGTGACAACTATGAACACTACAGAATACAATACTTTAATTCTTATTTTTAAAAGACTGCAATTAATTTGATCATGTACGAAAAGTATGATATTTTTTTTTATTATTTCAGCCTTTAACTGTCCGCTGCTGAACGCAAAGAACGAACGAACGAACGAATAAGCCTTGGGGAGTTTAGTCAGTAGTTAATGCACTTGGCAAGCAGATTGGCAACCGCAGTTAGGCTTCGGAGCTGTTTTAAGAGGGACGCTGCTTCCCGTCCCTCGCCCTCCCCTATGATAATTTAATAATATTTATTCTTAGAAACGTTAACACATGGTGGTTATCGTTTGCATTACACTGTATTCTGGAGTCTTTCCATTAGATAAATCATAAATTATTTTTGTTATTTTAAAATAAAAATACACAAATTTTTATTAAAATTACAAATGAAATTCGAGTAGTTTATAGGATGCACGAAATCCGTCTTAAAATTTTCGAAATAACGTCGCGTGGTAGATGTCCTTTTTTAAAACATAAGCGATCATACGATGCATGTGGTTCACTTGATGGTAAGTGAATACCGCTGCTTATAGGCACTCGAAACATCAGAGATGTGTTGCCAGATTTTAGGAAGGTATTTGATCTTTTCTTGATGATTTCAATAACATTCTGTTCGGAAATACCAAATACAATTTTGTTACCAGGTGTAAGAGATCGCTTCTAGCGATAAGGCCGCCTTTTGTATATGCATATTCTGTATAAATACTCCTTGTATACATCTCTACTGTGCGCAATAAAGAGTTTATTATTATTATTACAATCTAATCGGTTAACGCTGTATATGTCGTAGGTTTGAGAGAGTCATTTGTATGTATCTTGTGCTCTGTATGAACATTTACTTTACAGACTGCAGCCTGCGAGGTAGATAGTAATGCTTGTAGTTCGTATGAACACATTTGACTGACAAATACAATGTTTATTTTACAATTAGTCACAATATGTTAGTTAAAGCTGTTAATTTAAAAAATGTCATTGTGTAACATACTAACTAGCATTTCAAAATTAACACAGTTTAGAACAGACTCGCAAATATATTCCACAATGTACGGTTTTTGCATTCCTTTGTCTTATTACACCATTTCGTTTGTTTGTGGGGTTACAGTAATATACTGTTATTTGTTTTTTTTTTTTAATGGATAAAAATGGCATGGTAACCCCGCCTGTGCTATCGGTTTACACTGGTGGAGTACCAGTGAGAGATAATAAGGCAGGTCAGTTAGCCCCTCGTGATGAATACCCTTGGAATTCAGCACGATAGTTTCCAGGGGGAACCGCGTGGAGGTCGACCTGATAGGGTTATTGCTAGCTACTGCTAGGCCTGTTGGTTGACAAAAACAATAATAATGTAGCACTTAAGTGCTACATTATTATTATTATTTTTATGCAACTTAGAATGGCAAACAAGCTGACGGCCCACCTGATGGAAAGTGGTAACCGTTGTCTATAGACATGAGCAGTACTATTGACATAATAGAATACACTGTTTCGCCAACGATACCCCCCATGCGTTGTCATTCCTGCGGACTTAGGTGTTATTCCTGTGTACCCTGTAAATTCACGCCATATCCCACCCTTTAAACCGAAACACAGCCATGCAAACACAATTGCTTCACGGTAGAAACACGAAAGGGCAGAGGTGCCTAAGCAAACGACTTTTATACAAAGACTCTCTCTAGTAAACAATCCCTTTAATACTTATAAATACACTAAATGCAATAAAATATGTAGTCAAACAAATGTCTGAATATAATAATATCATTAAATTTTAATATTTTAATATCTGGGTACAGAGGAATAACACCTGAGTCCTCAGGAATGGCAACGCATGGAGGGATATCATGGGCGAAACAGTATACTCTGTTATGTCAATAGATACTGCTCATGTCTATAGGCGACATTTACCACTTTCCATCAGGTGGGCCGTCAGCTTGTTTGCCATTCTAAGTTGTATAAAAAAAATTTGACCAAAGAAGCACTAAAAGTATATATAAATATAATAATTTTTGACTAAATCGTAGACTAGAAAAAACTGAGATTTTGCCAATTAGAAATAAATCTATCATGAACCGAACTGAGTAAAAAAATTAAATTTAGACATATTGAAGCGTATAATATTATGTAAACAACTTTTTGTTCATATTTAATAGCATTATGTTTAATGTTGTTTTACTTCGAGATTTCGCTCAAACACCGTGACCAGAGGGTCTACCATGAAATGAAATTCCGAAGTTTCGGACTCAATTTCGTGTTTTCATTCATACCTAATACGGCCCAGTAAATAGAGATTAACATTTCGTTCGTCACAAATCCTACCATAAAAGTCCAAAGGAATAATATTTTAAAATTTTTAATGTTTTTAAACTGTAAGTATTATGTAATTTTAACATCAAACTTGTGTTTCGTTCGGTTCCGAAATTTAGGAAAACATTTCATGGTAGGCCCTCAGTTTATGGGTCATTAATCAGTAGCAATTATACGCTTCGGATAGATTCATCTCAATTGTTGATATAACCGTAGTTCGGATTCGTAGGCGTGCCTTTAATATGTGTAGGCCGGAACATTTTTTATGGATTGTGGTTTTTTACCTTTGTAAGTATTTTTTTTATACCACTGAGGTGGCAATCAAGCATACGGCTCACCTGATGGTAAGTAGTTACTTTAGCTTATGAACGCCTGCAACACCAGGAGTATTACGCGCGCGTTGCCGACCCTGAAGAAACCTTTTTACCTCCTTTAAAAGAACCCCATGCTGTAGTCTCTTGGGAAAACCTCGACAGGGAGCTCATTCCATAATTTGAGTGTTCGTGGGAGAAATCTTTTTTGAAGTAGCGTTGTACGCGACTATTTAGGCTGTAGGATATGAGGGTGAACTCCCTGTCGATGGCGAGCAATGAACAATTCCTCTGAGCACAATCCGTTGTACAAGCGGTAGAAGGCGCAGAGTGAGGCTAAATCTCTCCTACGAAAAAGTAAATATTAATTTATTTATATTTTAATGTACTTAGCGGATTTAACACCGGACGGTGTTCTCTACCAGTCCACCATTGCGTGAACAGAGAAGTAGATGGTGCATTATTTATTAGAGGAAAAATAAAGCCATGTGTTGTCTACTGATTTTAATGCTTCAACCAAAAAGAGATTTTGTTGAAAAATCGTCTGTTTGGATACCTTTGTTTACCTAATTACCTAAACATGGGTAGATGTTTAGGTGCTATGAAGCATCGGTTTTCTCTCTTCATACGTACACTATTGACAGAATAGTCGTGGATTTTCCGTAATAGACTGCTGTGTGGCCATTTTTATGAGGCCAGTCTGTGCTTACATGAATCTGTTTCGGTTTGAAGGGTGGTGAAGTACAGACTTTTTTTTATACGACTTAGAATGGCAAACAAGCTGACGGCCCACCTGATGGAAAGTGGTAACTGTCGCCTATAGACACGAGCAGTACCATGCACATAACAGAGTATACTGTATATGGACTATGGGGATGGAACACTTCAGTTCATATTAATTGATAATCATTAATAACATAAAATGATAATCTAATTATTTCTAGATTTACTTCCAATGTTGTACTGTCTACAATCCTGTGAGATGGCCGCAAACAGATTGCTCCAGGAAGGAAACCTTGGAGAGACAGGAACTTTCCCGTGGCTCGGTGTACTGAGAGTGCACTTACGTAAGTTAATTATAGTCCACATTATATTAGGGTAATAAATTGTTTGTTTATATTTTCATAAAGATCTATTGAATGAGTCTGTCATCATCATCATGATATTAGCTATTAACTGTCCACTGCTGAACATAGCCTCGCCCTTATTATTGAGGCTGGTTTTGCTAATAGCTGCCACGCTTGGCAGTTTGGCAACCACAGTTAGACTTTTGGACTTGTGGTGATGTTTAGGGATGCCTCGTATGATATCCATGGGAAAGGAAGGGGTAGCCTATTCTATGTCGGGACCACATGGCGAATGTCTTGTACACACAGGCACGCACGCACGCACGCACGCACGCACGCACGCACGCACGCACGCACGCACGCATTCACGCACGCATACACACATACACACGCGCGCGCTGTTAATAATTCAATAACTCAGGTTAATAATTAATTTTCCTATATTTTCATTGAGATGTATAAGCAAAAACTCCACAAGGGGGAGTCCTGTGTTCAGTTGTGCACAATTAACGGCTGATATTATGATGGTGATAAAGTATCAAGTTATGGTTATTGTACGATAATGTATTAACACAATAAGTTACGAGTTACTTTAAATGTTACAGACGAAGGCGACTCGTTGAAGATAGCCGTCACGGGTATAGTATTGGTAAAGGACAAATACGCTATAGCTAATGCGGACGATGTCTCTCGGATACCCAAACATGTATTCAGGTAGGTTGTGATTCCTTAATATCGGATATATGCACCTTTTTAGTAACGTCATGAGATTATAATGAGCGCTGAACCTCATGCCATACTAGTACGATATAGTTTTTTTTAATGGATGATAATGGAATGGTAACCCCGCCTGCGCTAAGAGTATACGCTAGCTGGGCACCAGTGAAGGATGATAAGTGAAAATGAAAAGGTAGGTCAGTTAACCAACTGATGAATGATGAATGCACCTGACATTCAGCTCGATGATTTCCAGGTGGACCACGAGGAGGTCGACCTGATGAGTTAACTGATCTGCTTTTTTCAATCTCATCTATCATCTCTCACTGGTGCCCTGCCAGCGTATACCGATAAAGCGGGCGGGTTTGCCATTCCATTATCACCCATTTAAAAAATCTCGCTTCTCATTGGGGGCTGCAGCTCGCAAAGCCTGTGAAGACGTCAGTGCGGGAGGGAGTGGGGCTGGAAATAGCGATGGTAAGAGACAATGGTGTGGTCGGAGCTGAGTAGCTGTATCTCGTGTAGTTATCGATGACTGTGAAGGACTCTCCTCTTCACTGCTGCTCTCTTCTGAGTTGTCCAACACACCGAAACAGAGCTAACTGTTTCTTCTTTCATTAATTCATGTAGTAATTTCTGAGATCCTTGGAGACACGTTCTCCAGGACTGCGACAAACTATTCAATTTTTTTTTTAAAAAAATGAAAAATATATCCATAACAAAATTGGTACAATACAAAGATCGTTGTTGTGACCTTCTAGTAAATGTTATCACCTGTATCAGAAGGTCATGTTCCTCCATAACCATGAAAATACAAATCATTATTATGCAATAGTATTTTTTGTTTTAATTCATTAACTTCTAATTTTATCATGTAGATGAATAGAAACTATAAAAAAAATCTATAAAGAAACAACCATCTATAAAAAAAATTAAACTAAATTGACTATCAGACCAAACCAGACCAGTGGGAGACTTTGTACAAAAGTCGATTGCTTGGGTACCTCTGTCTCATTCGTGTTTCAACTGTGAAGCAGTTGTATTTGCATGGCTGTGTTTCAGTTTGAAGGGTGGGATATGGCGTGAATTTACAGGGTACAGAGGAATAACACCTGAGTCCTCAGGAATGGCAACGCATGGGGGTATCATGGGCGAAACAGTATTATGTCCATGGTACTGCTCATGTCTATAGGCGACGGTTACCACTTTCCATCAGGTGGCCCGTCAGCTTGTTTGCTATTCTAAGTTGTATAAAAAAAAAATGCAAAATATTTTTCCAGGGACGACAGTCAAGCGATGTTCGTACCTACAGCTGGAAAGCCTTGGTACAGTCGTCTTAAAGACTATATCACTCATTTCGAGTATGACTACGCCACTTTTCACACTATTGCCCTCGTCGAACTAGCTGCCGATGAAAGTAATTTTTTTTATCAGTTTTATTTTACAATTCAAAAAGGTAAATAAGCTGACAGCTTGTTTTTGTTGGGAGGAAAGGGATTGTTAACCCAATCAGGTCGACCTTCTCGCGGTTCCCCCTGGAAACTATCATGGTTAATTCGTGATGAATTCATCATAATGGTCTAACTGGCCTGTTTTCATTCTCATCTATCACCCTTCACAGGTGCTCTGCCAGCGTATCCCGTTAGCGCAGGCGCCCCGCCTGTGCTAACGGGATACGCTGGCGGTAAAAATATATTTACAGATATAAAAATTTTATTAAATTCGATTCAGTAGTTTAGTTTTTGTTAATGCAACACATTTTTTTGCAATGGAATTATAAATAATTGTCCTAATTTTTTTTTCTAAATTTCTTATTTCGCAGTTCCGTTCAAACCTATTTGTTGGCCTGGATATTCGTTCAACACCTCCACTGATCTGTATGCTGTGGGATACACTGATGGTGAGATATTTCGTAGCAACGTAATCGTGTGTCACGTTATTTTATGCATAGTGATGGCAAACTAATATTATTTAATATTTTTATTAACTGCCATTAACTGTTCACTGGTAAACAGTTAGTTCCCTATAAGGGGAGTTTGCCCAGTAGTTGCCACGCTTGGCAGGCAGATTGGCATTCGCAGTAGATAATAGTACATTACTGCAGCGGCCAGCAACTGAGGCATTGATGGACGAACGTGCAAATGTGGGCCGAAGCGTAGCCGAGGCACACATACGTAAGTCCATCAATGCCTGTTTGTGGCCAAGGCTTGTATAGTACTTTTCTCGAACAATGCGCGGAAATCAAAAACACAATTTTACTTTTTAAGTTCAATGACGAATAACGAACAATAATAATTTTTCACGCGCCATAATGTTCATTTGTTTTTTTTTTCAATAAACAGCTTTCTATTTGTAAGCCAGTTCGAAATTTAAATAAAACCTTTTATTAGTTACCTCCTTGGTAGTCGTTTCGAAGTAAAAAATCATTCCATTTTTAAATTACAGAACAGATATGAGTTTACATAGTAATTTATCTGGCCGCAAAACACGACAGATATGGATTTTCATACAACTTTTGCCGGCCGCTGCCCGCATGTATCTGACCAGTACGGCAATTTTGATTTATCTCTTAGAAGATTGTCAAAATAATGCTCACATTTCCAAGCATGTTTGAGAAAATATTATAGTAGCCCTCTTTGCAGTTCTCATTAGAGAGAATATGGTAATTTATATGAACTATCAATAAAAGTTACACCATAGTCATATGATAATGTGGACTTTCAGAGAGGCAGCTTTTGGAAAAAGTTATATATAAATTGCAATACATAAGTCAAGAGATGTGCACCGAATTCTACCAGAGGTCCGGAGTAAGTGTCAGTCGGTTAATTTTATCATCATCATAATTATTATATCAGCTCTTAACTGAGAAAAAGCCTCCCTCTTGAGGGGTTTTGCCAGTTATTACCACGCTTGGCAGACGGATTGGCAACCGCAATTAGGCTTTCCAGATGTTTTAAGAAGGACGTTGCTGCCCATCCCTTGTCCTCCCTTAGTCGGTTCTTACGACACCCACAGGAAAGAAAGGAGTGGTCTATTCTATGCCGGGACTGAGACAGCGAGGTTATGATATGACAGGGCATTTTATGGTGTTTGGTTTTTTGATTGACAGCTGCTGTCTAGTACGAAGTATATCCCCACACATTTCCAGTGTGGCTTTGCTGTTAACTACCGGGAGAACTGTGCGTGGGATAATGGAATGGTGATGGTTTCCAATACTACTGGTACCTGGATGTTGGTAAGATCATACTAGCTATATCCCGTGGCTTTGTCCACGTGAACTACTAACATAAAGTATTCTCTTCGCTAAGTTAGGGTATAACTTGCCCGTGTACCAATTCTCAATTTTAAGAGAGAAAAATAATATTTATTTTTCTATCGTTATAAACTTACCTGGTGATAAGTGATGTTTACCCCACAAAGGGGCAATTTGATAGTTAAGAGGGGCAATTAAAAAATGGACTTGAAGTGATTTTGACCCTCTTCCTCCGGGCCATTTAATGCTACGAGTAGATATCGGTGCCAAATTTAACAAAAAAAAAAAATTAAAAAAAAATGCTATAAATATTTATTAGGTAAAATTTCGTTTGACGTTACCAAAATATCAACTGGGCGATTAGAGTGGTCAAGTAAACTTTGTCGGGAAAAATTATATATGGAGGCATAAAAATTTTAGAAATGTTCAAGTGTGGCATGGGGCAAAAAAGGTTGGGAAACACTGGTTTAATATATCATCATTATCATTTCAGCCATTATCTGTTTACTGCTGAACTTAGGCCTCCCCCATAGACTAGGATCATTAATATTATATACATTACTAGCGACCCGCCCCGGCTTCGCACGGGTGCAATGCTGATAATAAATATACCTACATAATATATAAAAAATACATATATATATATATATATATATATATATATATATATATATATATATATATATATATATAAAATTAATAAACATTAATGCTGTATTGCTTAAAATCACTTCGTAAATAAGCCATTTTTCCCCGTAAAATGTAAAGGATAAAAATAATTATTGTGGGTTATCCTTAAGAGATAGACATATAACATCGCGGACTTTTTTGTTGACCTTTTTAAGGCGTACAATACTGTAGTACATTATTTTGATTTATCTCGTGGGGTTCAGCCAGCGTTTGCAATGTAAGCACAAAAATGTGTTTATTTACGACATCACATTAGAAACCTCTAAATTTATCAGTGTTTCTCTATATTATTATGCGTGTATTATACATATAAACCTTCCTCTTGAATCACTCTATCTATTAAAAAAACCGCATCAAAATCCTTTGCGTGGTTTTAAAGATATAAGCATACATAGGGACGGACAGACAGCGACAGCGACTTTATTTTATACTATGTAGTGATTATTGTCCACTGGTGAACGTAGCCATATCACAGATAATATAATACTATACTAGGCCATATTATGCCACAAAGTACGATGTGGTTTGAAGGACAATTAATTTATTGTATACCAAAGTAAGCTAAAGTGGCAATGAGCTGGTCACATAGCTCGAAGAATCGACATTCTATGAGAAAAATAAATGGATCTTGAGTGGCGACTCCGTGTAGGCAAATACAGTGTAAGACAATCCCTCGCTAAATTTTTTTTATACAACTTAGAAGGGCAAACAAGTTGACGGCCCACCTGATGGAAAGTGGTAACCGTCGCCTATAGACATGAGCAGTACCATGGACATAACAGAGTATATTGTTTCGCCCATGATACCCCCCATGCGTTGCCATTCCTGAGGACTCAGGTGTTATTCCTCTGTACCCTGTAAAATCACGCCATATCCCATCCTTCAAACCGAAACACAGCCATGCAAACACAATTGCTTCACGGTAGAAACACGAATGGGACAGAGGTACCCAAGCAATCGACTTTTGTACAAAGTCTCCCTCTGGTAAATTCTGTATGTGATGTGCAGAATGCTGTTTAGGTTCAGACTTATAGGCCACAGCCGCCATTTTTATCAGATGGACCTTTTTTTCAAATACTTGTCACATTTAAACAACGTCAAAAAGTTGGGGTTCTTCAAAAAAAGAGGTAAAGATATTTCTTTAGGGTCGGCAACCCGCGCGTAATACCTCGGAAATTACAGGTATTCATAGGCTACAGTAACCGCTTATCATTAGGTGGGCCGTATGCTTGTTTGCCACCTCAGTGGTATAAAAAAAAGAAGGTTCTGCAATGTATTGTTTTTGTATGTATGTTTCGCAATCTTTGTTAATTGTGAACCAGTTTTGATGATTCTTTTTAATATTTAAACATGTTCTGTGTAGTTAATTAATTCTAAGTATCTTATATTCGCATATGGGGGGTATCATGGGCGAAACAGTATACTCTGTTATGTCCATGGTACTGCTCATGTCTATAGGCGACGGTTACCACTTTCCATCAGGTGGGCCGCCAGCTTGTTTGCCATTCTAAGTAGTATAAAAAAAAAAAAAAAAGCTAAGTCGTTGCACGTCGACCCATCAGAATCTTTTGTTTCCTGTAGAGATTATTGTAATTCTAAGTAAAAAAATGTTTTTTTAATATTTTTTTCTAGATCGCCTTTGGTATACAAGGGCCGGGGTGCGCGGTGCCTTCTCGCTTCATCGACATCTTTACTTATTTGCCCTGGATCCAATCGACTACCTCCATAGAATCAGTCTATGATGATTTTAGAAAGAAAGCCGTCCATACGCTACAATGACCGTTTACCATTAAATGAGTTATATTCTTGTTTGTATAATGATACAATTTCCTTGACTTTTTTAAAACAAAGCTGCCCTTATAGTGAGTGAGATGGGCAGGTTACGAAGGTACCTAAAAATATTTCATTTCAGTTTCTGATTGAGAATTTAATTATTTACTAATGGCTTAATTTACTAACCCCAGCATTTCACGTATAGGTAGATAGAAAGAAAAAATACTATTTTACTTGGACCAATAGAAGGTAACAACAATGTAAGGCTGTACACTGGTACCGCAGTATTTTGCTTACTTTTAACATTTTTTAATACTTCGACATAAATTATTGTAATTTTCGTAGGGATCTCTAATATTTTTGGAAATATTATATAGTTTATTTTTGGGTCACTGCGACACACTTGGTGAAAACATATCTCCAATATTAATTTTATGTTTTATATGTTGTTTTATATTTGAAAAATGTAAATAATCAAATTGTATCATTTTATTCATTAATTTACGTGTGTTAAATGGCTCAAATAAAGTGTTTATCTATCTATCTATCTATCTTTATGTTACTCACTAATAATTACATAGCTTTTTACAAGTGTTTTTTTTTTAATCTGTTAAGTAGAGCTTAGATTATATAGATAGCGCATCGAGTCACAAAAACGGGTCAACTTCTTGTCTAATTGTCAAATTAGCTTACTCATGTTTTTATCAGCATTCTCTATACGCATACGCATAAAATATATCTTGACGTATTATTTAATAAATAAAATTATTATTTACACATTTAAAAAAAAAAAACAAAATAAATATAGAAGTTATAAAGGAATAGTTTGCCACATAACTAATTATGTGGCAAAGTTGTATGAAAAAGTTGACCCGTTTTTCTCGAGGCATTATATGTGCACACTTTATCTATATAATGTAATTTTATGTGATTATCCATTACAAATAAACATACAAAAAGTAAACTCATTCTTTTTTATTATGTTAATTTAAATTTACATAAGCGCGACCGGTTAATAAAGTGTATGTATTTTACAAATATATTAAAATTGTAACAAAACCTCTGCACAAAATTGGATGTATTTATCACAGTCATAATTGTGAAAGTTAAGCCTAAAACCTGGTGTATGTTTCATCTTTCTAGGCTAATATAGAAGTAATATATTTTTTATTTCCGAAATCTACGTGCACGAAATAGCAGGTAAAAATGGGGGGAAAGGGTCGACCTCCACGCGGTTCCCCCCGGAAACTGTCATGGTTAATTCCTGATGAATTCATCATGTTGGGCTAACTGGCCTGTTTTCATTCTCATCTATCACCCTTCACTGGTGCTCCGCCAGCGTATCCCGTTAGCGCAGGCAGAGTTACCAATCCATTTTCATCCAACAAAAAAAAAAATAGCAGGTAAAAAGCAACATATAAGAAAGTTCCTGCATATATACAATAATGTTTAAATTTTAATTTTTTCAGTGCAAGTCATACACTGTAAATTAACTATTAACATCTCGTTGTTTATTAATGGATGTGTGCATGTGAACACACGTGTATGTGTGTGTGTGTGTATAAATGACGTGTCATTTTTATTTTGTGTAGCAAAATATACTTGTTCTCGATATTGTTATTGATTTTGTTGAAACAATCTTAAATACGATCGACAAGTCGCAATAAAGAGCTGAATGTCGAAGAACGTGAAATGATCCCCTCCGGCTGCAGACGGTTCGCATGTGAAGACTCTGTATTCGAAGCTATTCCGCTTACTGTCAGTTGATTCGACCTGAATAATTTATTAATTCAAATTGAACTTTTTTTTTATATACAACTTAGAATGGCAAACAATCTGACGGCCCACCTGATGGATAGTGGTAACCGTCGCCTATACACATGAGCAGTACCATGCACATAACAGAGTATACTGTTTCGCCCATGATACTCCCATGCGTTGCCATTCCTGAGGACTCAGGTGTTATTCCTCTGTACCCTGTAAATTCACGCCATATGCCACCCTTCAAACCGAAACACAGCCATGCAAACACAACTGGTTCACGGTAGAAACACGAATGGGACAGAGGTACCCAAGCAATCGACTTTTGTACAAAGTCTCTGGTAAGTCAAATTATACCAGAGGGAGACTTTGTACAAAAGTTGTGTGCTTGGGTATCTCTGTACCTTCTATGTACACGAGAAGCAATAAAATAATTTATATCTCAGTGGAATATCAGCATAATACGTGGATAATAAGAAAGAAGTAGAGAACATATTTTGTGATATTTGGACTAATGGGATTCAAACCTACATCTCTCTGCTATATGGGTATGTTCCTAGTTATTAACGAAAATGCTGTCATTCGAAAAGTATACTATCAACCGGTACATTTTCACCCACATTTTTCAAACGTCTTTATAATTTTTTAATACGCAACTTGTAATTTAAACAAGTTTATGAATTAATTCACTTATATTGCAATCATTTTAGACTTAACATATTTAAATAAATACAAATATTGTTAATTGAGATTTAAAAGAGTAATTGTTGAGTTTCTTGCGATTTCTTCTCAGCAGATAACAAAATTCCGAACTCAGCAGTGGAATAGAAAAAAAAATGACAATTTAAAAGTGCTTGTGAATAAGTCTATTTGAATAAAAATGATTCTAAATTTGAATTTGAATCTATACTTTTTTTTTACAATTTTTATAGTAGAAACGAAATTACAGAAGTGACTCAGTGTATAAAGCTAGGGCTGTACCGTGAGGGCACGACGCGTCTTTAATATGCAAAACATTGTCGGTACAACATTCAATCGTTTTGTTGCACAGCCCTACCGATACAGGTGTTAACTGCTAATTACGTTAAGATGCCTCCGAGGCGATAACCGCCGATAAATATACTCCAAGAGTATTGTTGACAGCACCCACTCTGATGTTTCAATGTGTCCCACTCGATGTATGTCGATGAATGAACGATATAAAAACATGTGCCTATATTTTTTTTTTTTGATGGGTGAAAATGGTATGGTAACCCCGCCTGCGCTAACGGGATACGCTGGCGGAGCACCAGTGAAGGGTGATAGATGATAATGAAAACAGGCCAGTCAGCCCATCATGATGAATTGATCAGGAATTAACCATGATAGTTTCCAGGGGGAACCACGAGGAGGTCGACCTGGTTGGGTATATTGCTAGCAGTGGGATTCTCAGTCTCCATTACTAACAATCCCTTCCCCCCCAAAATGTGCCTATATTAATATTATAAAGAGGAAAGGTTTGTCTGTTGATAAATAATGTACATATATAAAAGCAATGATTGCATTGCAAGAAAACAGTCTAGGCTAACAGCATCTGAGGTCTTGAAGAAGAAGATTAAAACAGTAAGTAATATTACTGGTAATTTAAAATACGCAAAGCAGACATTATGGCTCGCCGGTAATTAACTCTGCGACATAAGAAGTATAAAAAAAACAACGCCCGGCCGCGGAGACAATCGCCGGTAAATCAGACGTTCATTCATTTACATGAGTTTGTTGCTTGTTTGTAGCGGCCTTCAGTTTGCGGGAGCGATAGCAAAGTGTCGCGAATTATAAGGAGGACGACTAAAAAAAAACTAAATTTTATTAAAATTAATTCAAATACAAATATAATTCTTTTTTTTTTTTACAAAATTCCTTAAATACTAATAACAATTAAATGTAATCTCCCAACGCACCACACCGAGGCAGCGTACCCAAGATACTGGCAGCATTACCTCTTTGGATTGCCAAACTTATCTTTTGGGCAAAGTAGCTACCAGCTCTTGGGTCACCAGTAACCTCGATGAGGCGCGCTGCGATCGTCCGATAAAAATTCTTTGCATCTGGGCCCCACGGGCCCATCGTCTCTAAATTAATTTAATTCGAAGTTACAGTATAATTTTTTTATTAAAATCACTGCCCTGTTCGAAGTGTGAACCAGGAGAGCAATTCCTATATCTATTCCTATACTGTAACTAAACTGACTGCCCAGTTCGAAGTATGAACTTGGAGTGATCTTTTAAGTCGTTACGTTAGCCTGCCTCATGCTGCAGCGTCAGCAATTAGCTAGATACATTTATCCGAGTTTTAGATGCGATGCGTGTCAGCGGTCTCGATGGTGGCTCGCTATGTAACTCGCGTACACTAGATAGAATGTATTAAAAACACAACTGCGCCTCTATTGGACAGTTTTGGTAACTTTCATATAAAATTATCTACAACTTAGAATAGTAAACAAGCTTTTTTTTATTTATACAAGCTAGAATGGCAAACAAGCTGACGGCCCACCTGATGGAAAGTGGTAACCGTCGCCTATAGACATGAGCAGTGCCATGGACATAACAGAATATACTGTTTCGCCCATGATACCCCTATGCGTTGCCATCCCTGAGGACTCAGGTGTTATTCCTCTGTACCCTGTAAATTCACGCCATATCCCACCCTTCAAACCGAAACACAGCCATGCAAACACAACTGCTTCACGGTTAAAACACGAATAGGACAGAGGTACCCAAGCAATCGACTTTTGTACAGTCTCCCTCTACGTATTAATCTTCAACCGACTTCAAAAAAGGAGGTTTTCATTTCGGTTCTATTTTTATTATGTCATGTTACTATATAACTACGTCAACTATAAACCGATATGGAAAATTATTTTTTATCTTAAACCCATATACTTGCATATTGGTCCCATAGAAATTTTATCAAAATCGACCCAGTAGTTTAGTGCTGGAATCAAAATAACTCATTTTACTACATTTGAAGTCGGTATTTTTATGAAACACAATCGTAAATGACGTGAATTTATGTGGTTTTTTTTTTGTAAAATAAAATCTTATTCCTTGCGATTACACATTGATCGAGATTCGTCAACTTTATTCGTTTTAAAATAATCATAATAACTAGACTATATTAATTATGTCACGATTAAAGGCGTATCTATTGCGTAGTTTGTGACAATTAAAAATGTATAGATAGATAGATAGATCAATCAATCAATCAATCATCTTTATTCATATACATCTGTTACAGATACTTATGATACGTCAGTCTATAATTATAATAATTACTATAGAAAATAATATTGATTTAAGAAAAAATACAATAATTACATTTACAATACAATTCACATTAATACAAAATTCAAATCCATGCAGTTTTGTCATTTACTCTTTATTGTACTCTAGATACTCTTTGTTGTTTCCTCCAAAAGATTACAATAGTAAACTTATTGTAAATATAAACAATTACAAGAAATAATCACAATGTATACACGATGGTCAAAATATTAATAAGATTATTCTGTAAAAAAAAAATGAAAATTTATATACATATAACTGGTTTTTTTTTTTTATGGGCGATAATGAAATAGTAACCCCGCCTATCGGTATACACCGGCGGGGTCACCAGTGAAGGATGAATAGGTGAGGATGAAGTAGGTCAGTTAGCCCCTCGTGACGAATTCAACAAGAATTGTTCACGATGGTTTCCAGGGGGAACAGCGTGGAGGTCGACCTGATAGAGTATATAGCTAGCAATGGGGCTATCAAACTCCATTGCTAACAATCTCTTTCCCCCTCACCCCTTATATACCTGTTAATTTAATTTATTTATTTTATCAATTCACCTTGTACGCTATCGGTACCGGCGTGTTCTCACAGCGCGTCAAATGTAGGTGGGGCGTTGCGTTGTTTTGTGTTGGGGAGCGAGCAGAGCAATTAATAAACCGGCTGCGGCACACACGCAGTTCAAAACATACTGCTCCCGGTCATAAATTAAAAAAAAAAGAGATCTTAGTCGAAGTCCTTACCGAAGTACTGTAAGTTTGGCGTGAATTTACTGGGTACAGAGGAATAACACCTGAGTCCTCAGGAATGGCAGCGCATGGGGGGTATCATGGGCGAAACATTAAACTCTGTTATGTCCATGGTACTGCTCATGTCTATAGGCGACGGTTACCACTTTCCATCAGGTGGGCCGTCAGCTTGTTTGCCATTCTAAGTTGTATAAAAAAAAAAAAAAAAAAAAAAAAGTACCAGAGGGAGACTTTGTACAAAAGTCGAATGCTTGGGTACCTCTGTCCCATTCGTG